GCAACTTTTACTTCGAAAATACTTAACTCTTTCGAAATCTTTTGCGACTAACTCGGGATGCTATTCAAACTCATCATCTTGAAAATCCGTTTATTTTTAACTTTTTGTCTAATACCTCTTTAGACATAAATCAAACAGATTTCCTTTAAACTTGCATTTAAAATCCCATAATCATATTTCTCATAATGGTAAAAACTTGAAATCTAAAATTCATTAAAATGCAAGTTCAATACTTAATGTGCATAGCGGAAATACTTGAAAACGTGGTTAATTATACAGACTGTTATAAATGTCCGTATCAAAGCTTGTCTTCATCTGAGTCCACGATCCACACCAACACTGCTCCACTCACACCTCCTCTTCGACCTGTTACCTGAAACTAAAACTCATGGGGGTGAGTAACGAATATGGATAATCATAAACCGATATCTGATCGGTAACCAGAAATCTGTTCTGGTACTGAAACTTGGTCGATATCTGATCGGATACATGTGCACACTCTGATGGATATTTCTAAGGCACCTAATGGCCTCCATCAGAACTTAGGATATAATCTCTGAGAACAAATTAATGCCTCCTCATCCTAAGCGTAAAACTTAAACATTAGGATATACTCTGAGACAACTGATGGTCTCCTCATCCCATATGACATCAATATCGTACTCAATGTGATACCCGTTCAGGGTTCCCACCTTTTTGTCTTTGAAATCATTTGAAAACGATAAGTGCTGTACTGGTACTGTATCTGCAAGTTACATCAAATATAAACAAATATACTAAGTACTATGCTCGTATACTCAATAAGAATCTTAGGATTATTAACTTATCCAAATTTTATAGAAATTCATTAAACTTGCTTTTTCTCAAGTTTATACTTAACTTCTCTTTTTACTTTTACTTAAGGTCAATTACTTAACCTTCTAAATCATGTCTTCATAAACATCAATATGGTATTATACTTAACATGTCATAACTCAAATGTGAAAATAACTATATTTCACATTATACTTGATTGAGTATTTAAACTTAAAACATGCTTTCTTTTACCAACATCATCAACATGATTTATAACTTATCTTAATTTAACTTGATCAAATACTTAATTCATAATACATCATATCTCCCAATTTTTAGATATTGGCTTATACTAAATTTTCACTTAATTAAATTGAAAGTGAAAATAATCTCAAGCCATAATCATCTTTTACTCATAATATTTAATCATGATGTTAATATGTCATACTTAATACAATTTTTATAAAATTGTATACTCAACATATTATACAAAACATCATCAAATTACTCATCACTTATATGAGAATTATTCATGATCATCTCATTTTAACAACTTAAACATTTCATGAATATTTTTGCATAT